CTCTGCTATCAGATAGTGGTGAGGGCAGAGGAGTGGGACGTGGAGTTTGGAAGCAGTTATCATGTCTGTGTAATGGGTGGAGGGGTGGTGAGTTTGAGCCAAGTCAGAGATAACGGATCTTGCAGTGGTTGTGTTTTTCAGGCCAATAATCCACATTGCAAACACATTTGAACAAGTTGTTGAGGAAAGGATTCAATTTCATGCTGCTCTGAGGTAGAGGGAAAATAGTATGTGACAGTTTCTGCCTCGTTCACTTAAGTTTGAGGCATTTTAGCTGGTTTTCCTCTTTGAATAGGCCTTAGATGAACAGTATGGCATTAATTTTTGACCTCAGTATTTCTGCATGCAAAAGAGCAGCTGCTGCCTTTCTAACATGTCAGTGGTACTGCCCCATCCCTGGGGGTGTTGAAGGGCAGGTTGGATGGGGCTTGGAGCAGCCTGGGCTGGTGGGAGGTGTCCCTGCCCATGCAGGGGGTTGGATCTGGATGAGTTTCAGGTCCCTTCCAACCCAAACCAGTCTGTGGTTCTACTGCATTAATGCAGGAGATCACTTGTCCAGGTGTGTCCTGGCTGTTTCAAGTGTTGCCAGATAGACCTGTGGCATCAGAGCTGACTGCACCATCACCTTCCTTGCAAATGGGTGTTGTTGGTGGGCACCAAAGGAATCACCCTGACACTGCTTTCAGAAACACACAGGTCAAAACTCTCACTGATTTGAGTGAAAACTGTATCAGGCTTGGTGAGTTGCTGACAGACCTCCCCAGATGTTTTGGTAAATGTGAAGCTCTGTGAGTGTTCAAAGTGCATTTTGGGTTTTTTAATAATATAATAGGGTCCCTTCTCGTTTTCTGCCCCATCTGTGACATTGAGACTTCTGACTCTTTGAAGTGCCCCTGGCTGGTGTTCACAGAGCAGGAACATGTGCTGTGATCAGCCTTGTGCCTTCATACAACTGGTAGGAGTGACATAACCAAACCCATCATGATAGTGCCAGCTCATATCAAACTCTGCCTTCTCAGGAACTTCCAGCTCACCATGAGCTCACTCAGAGCCCTGCCTGCCCTGGAAAGCCCAGGCTGCCTCACCTTTCCTTTGCATCTTGTGATGGCTGGTGCTTTGGAGCAGGACAGTGCATCCCCCACATCCAGCATGCATTCCCAGTTGGGCAATGCCTGTGGAGCTCCTGCCCCATCCATTTTGGGGAATCACCTTCTGCCCCGAAGCAGGAAAATTGCTTCTCCTTATCTTCACCTACATGTCTCTGGCTGCTGTCATGGGTCATAAAGTTATCTGCTGTTCTTTTCAAACCAGTCCCAGTGTTTACTCCTCTGACCTTCCTCTTCATGAAACCCATAGACTGGCTGCATCCTTGGAAAAAAGACACATTTCTTAAGCTTGGTTTCTGCTGATAAAACTGGGGGGCTGCATTCATGTAATTTAAGTCATATGGTCCATTGCCTGTAGTTACACTCAAAGAATATGATCATTAAACCAAACCTAATATCTGTTTCCTATGGATCATGTTTTCCATCTCATTCTCTTTGCTTAGGTTACATTTGTGGGACTTCAGTGCTGCTTTTCATTCAGGCTGATAAAAGGAACAGAACAGTGTTTTTTTCAAGGACTAAATCTTAACTGAAGTTCAACTGGAAGGGAGAAGACTTAATTTTAGATATTTCTGCAAACTTTCCTCAAGAAGCTTCAATATTTTTATTTCTTCCTTTCTAGCTGCCCTGTTGGGATTTCATATGAAGGATTTTTATGTTTTTCATGCCATGACCATGTTTGTTATGTGCAGCTTCCTTTTCCTTTCAAGTCTGGAAGAGGTCAGATTAAATACACACAGTGAAGAAGAGGCTAAGCAGTTTAAATAACTGCAGAGGGGCTATTTCAGACAGGACTGACTACAAGCAGCAGGAAACATCAGTTGCAAACAGTAAAGCTCGCAGGGAAAATATGCCAGCAATTTGTCTTTTATAACCTTGTGCATAACCACTGGGTAGGAGGTTTTATATACAGTGGCCCTCTGTTCTTGCTTAATTCAATTAAAAAGAAAAAGCCAAGATTTGGAGTATCTTGCTTTGCTAATGTGCAGTGGCAGAAGGGTGTTGTAAATGCTGCATATTAGGATCTGAAACCTTTCTGGTAAAGCAGGGAAGGAGAAGAGAAGGGAACTGCAATGTTCAGTTCTCTCTTGTGGCTGTTGTGATCTCTGGTGAGGGGAACCACAGTGTTGTTCTCCCTCTTCTTGTGGCTCTTGTGCTCTTTGGTTCTGAATTAACTGTGCTCTCCAAAGAAAGGCCTGTCTGATGCCCACCCACCTTTCTGTTAGACACTTGGTGCTTCTCAGACTGCTTTTGTCTGGAGCTAAAGCAGCAATTGATGGAAAAATACAGACTGTCTGTTTGTCCCAAAGAAAGCCAAGCATCTCCACAGTGTGTGCAGGAATCCCTGTGCATGGGAGCACACATGCATGTCTGGACAGCAGCCCTTGCTCCTGGTGAGCACAGCCAGGGAGCAGGAATCCCAGGCAGCATTTCAGGACAATAAGGCAGCCCAGCTCGTGGCCACAGGAGGAAACTTCAGTAGACAGAATGTAATCAGCCAAGCTAGAAACTGGTAAGGCGCTCTGCTTTAAATCTTGGAAGCCTTGTTGACAGTGCTGTAGGGTTATTGATGTTCAGAGGCTCCTGGAATGCACCTGAGGAATGACACCTCCTGTCTGCTGTGGTGTCTCCAGCAGTGACTTCAGAGGAAGCCTGGCTTGTTCTGTCTATCCACACTGCTTCCTGCTGCACCTTGGGGAGATAGAGATATCTCATCCAAGGAATGGATTGCAACATCCCTGCTTAAAATCAGAGATTTGGGAGGCTTTCTGCACCAGAAGGCAGGGCTGTGAGGAATTCACTTTCCTTTTGGTTGAGCCCTGCACTATTATGCTGATCTTTGCAAACCCCTGCAGATTTATTTTCTCTGTCTGCCAGAACACTTTTATTTTTAACCAAATCAAATACACTATGAAGCAATTCTTCCATCAGTTTGTGATCTCAGGGTCTGTTACTACAAGGTAGTTCTTAATGGATTACTCTGATCTGCTGCTGTGTGTGATTATACAGGCTGGGAGAGTTGGGGTGTTGGGCCTGGAGAAGAGAAGGCTCCAGGGAGACCTTAGAGCAGCTTCCAGTGCCTGAAGGGGCTCCAGGAAAGCTGGGGAGGGACTTGGGACAAGGGCAGGGAGGGATGGGATGAGGGGGATGGATGAAAACTGGGAGAGGGAGCTGGAGGTTGGAGATGAGGAGGGAATTCTTTGGTGTGAGGGTGGTGAGAGCCTGGCCCAGGTTGGGCAGGGAAGCTGTGGCTGCCCCATCCCTGGGGGTGTTGAAGGGCAGGTTGGATGGGGCTTGGAGCAGCCTGGGCTGGTGGGAGGTGTCCCTGCCCATGCAGGGGGTGGGATCTGGGTGGTCTTGAAGGTCCTTTCCAACCCAACCCATTCTACAAATCTAATTATCCAGATTTTTCTGCAAAAATGATCATGAGATTTTTGCTTTGGGGCCTGTTCTCAGGTCTAAATTGAACAAACACTGCCACTGCAGCATAATAAGTATCTTTTTGTGATCAGGGTCTATTTCAGATCCTGCAGGGAATTTACATGGCCTGCCTACTTCTGCTGGATTATTTATAGTTACAATATTTTAAAAAAACCCAGTTACATGTGAGATAATTTCCGGTGTGGTAAGCCACAGTCATTTGTTTATGCTGGATCCTTGCCAGGAGGCAATATACCTCATCTTGACTTAAATGACAGGCATTTGGTGCCAGTTTCCTGACATAGGAGCTCCATTTCTTATTTATTTATTCCATTTTTGGAGAGATTTCTTCAAATACGAATCCTCTGAAGCCTGAGGAATTTTCCTGAAGCCCCCTGCAAATGTTGGAATTACTTAATTGCCTAATTTGTGAAAGCAAACATTGTGCTTACTTCACTAATACGTTTGTTTGGGGAACAGTTTTGTACTGGTAGAATCATGGAATGGTTTGGGGTGGAAGGGACATTCAAGATCATCTAGATCCACCCCCTCTTCTTGGGCAGGGACACCTCCCACTAATGCATGTCAGATGTGATCAGTACTGAAACCAGTGTTCTATAATAAATAATCTCATTTTGCTAATGTGTTCTGCCCTGACTTAGTCCATCATTTCATTGAACAACAACAAAACACTTTCTCAGCTCCTTTGTCTTTTTTTTTCTCACGTTGTTTTGAAAGCAAATTGGGGTGAAACTTTCTCATCTTGCCAAGCCTGAGCAGCTCTGAGGAGGCTCTTCTGCTTGGCCAAGGGAAGCTGTGCACCCCAGGCATGTTCCAGAGAAAAGGCAGTTCACAAGGGTGTGCTTCTGGACTTAATTTTATTCCTACTGGAAATCTGATAAGCATCCAGATTAGCTTTGTCTTTGGCAGGGATTACATTTGCAGAGAATCTCAAGTGTTTGTGCTGAGATTGGTTCTTGTTTGGGAAGAGCCTTTAGTAGCAAATATTCTGAGGCATTTAGTCTAGAATAGAGGTGATTTTTTTTCTTATGCCATCCAATTTGTTGTTTTGCCAGTCCTTGTGAGTGCTACATTGGGGTTAGTCCCCTGAAATGTCAATAAAAATTACAGTTACTTAACTGGTCCATAACCTCTGCCTGAATGACTTTTGCTGGGGAGGTTGTCAGTAAAGTAAGAAGATGTAGCTTCTTCATATCATGTCACAGATCTGTGTTCTTAAAGACAAACTTTGTTGGCTGTTAAGAATAATATTCCTTATCCTTCAGGACCTGATGATAGAATCTGGAAATAGATATTATAATAATTTTCTGGTCTATGATATACACAGGATAGCTGAGTAACCACTCTGCTTTTGACAGGTGCCATGATATCAAGACTTGAAAATCTGATTACTTAACAGCTTTCATGGTTGTCTTTTTTCATCTCCCTTTCCCTGCTCTTCCCCTTTTTTAGCCATCTACAATTATGATGCTGTCCAAGATGTGGAGCTCTCCTTGCAAGTTGGTGATACTGTTCACATTTTGGAGATGTATGAAGGTAGGTTGCAGATCACTTCCAAGTACCTTGTAGTGGTTTTTAATGTAAATATGAGAAAACAAATAATACAAATTTTAGATCTAGATTTCCAACTTCTGGTGTGCTGAAAAGCACAAAGCTTTCTGTGTGAGGTTTGCTTCATGCACTTTATGCATTTTTTAAATAACATTTTAAAAGTCAAACTACAGAAGTGGCAATTGTATCAGTGCTGTTCCTGGCAGAGGTTTATCAAGGTAGGATTTTCACTAGTATCTCAAGGCAGCACTGCAAGAGAAGGAAACACTTCTGGCTGTTCATTCCTGTCTTCACACCACACCTGTTTGCCTTGGCCAAGTGCTTGGGTAGTCGTGTGATGAACTGAACCAACTGGAAAGAATGTTTTCTTTAAAAGTAGCTTTTAACCTGAATTAATTGTTTAATCTGAGACAACAGAGGCAGTGGATGAAAGAAAAAGAGAGGGCAGGTCTAATTGTTTCAGAAGTCATGTTGGTTTAAGCCATAATATGATGAACTGACATGATAGGTTTTTAAAATCCTGCAGTTATGGAGCTTCCATGCCCTTGTTAGGCTGTTTCTCTCAGTACTTATGAAAAACTGTGAAGTTCTTAATAATATGTACCTTAATATAAAATATCTTGCAGAAAGAAAAGCAAAGTTCCTGTTTTAAGCAAGATGAAACACTTGTGTGTTTTATATCTACTTATTAAACTAGCCTGTGTAATGAAGATCTCAATATTTGGAATGGAACACAGCCATTTCATTATTTTAAAGAATGTCCACTGCTGCATTTGGAAGGCTCTTCCAACATTTCAATACTCTTTCCAAAGCATAAATTCAATCCTTTTTCACAGGCAGCATCAGTTTTGGAAAAGATTCAACATACAGAAACTTTTTAGTATCTCTGCTGGGTACAGCAAGCTGCTTGTTTAGCAGTTTGTTCTTAGCCAATTGTTCTCTTTCCACTTCTCTTTGACCTTGACACTGGAAACAGCCAGCCAGTTCCTACATGTCAAAGCAGATTATGTTGCTGATGTGTGTTTTTACACTGATGTGTGTGATTGTGGTGAGTGTATTTGGCAGAGTGGGACACAGAGTGAGAGAGAGGGAAAAGAGATCTCTGTGGAATAGTACAAAACTTAGTAGCTGGTTTTGCAAAGAGACCCAAGGAAGAGAGATTGTCAGGGATGAAAACTGCCCTCCTGAAGAGGATGCAGCTTGTCCGTCCCAAAATATTGGGGTATTTATTTTTTTTTAAAGTAACTTCATTGTTTATTCCCAGTATTTAGTCTATAATCAGCTGTTTAACAGAGAAACAGTGTAGAATAGGAAACAGAGACCCAAATGGCATCTTGTTTTTACCTGACATGTCCCAGGTTGGAATTTCAACCTGACAAGATTGATTGTAAATTGTTTGGGAAAGTGAATGTGCTTTGGTTGTTTTCATATGCTGAGCCATCAGTGTAGCATCCTGGTTTGTGACTGAGGCACCTAGGAATTACTGCATTACAGCAAAATACTTTTCCTGGAAAAACCAGCCAAAAAGTTAGGCCTGACATCTGTGAATCTAAAGGAAAAGATCCAGATTGTCTTTGAGATGGTAACTCTGCTGTGGGTCTGGTCTTATTTCCCATAAATTCATCTTAAAAAAACAGCAAATCCGCATATTCTGTCTTGTGTGGGAGGAAATTCTCATGTCTTATTGTATCAATTTTTCTTTCCTTTGGGAAGCTTTCAGCTCTGTTTCCAGATTATCTGTGGGTTGTGTTTTTGAGAATTAGTCTTCTCTCAAAAACTTCTTCTGTTTCTTGCCATGCTAATGATCCACACGTACAGACCCAACCCCAGGCTGATGAAAGTGGGGTTTTGTTCAACTAATCACTGTTCTTACCAGGATACACAAGTCTCATTTTAGAAAAAGGCTCCATTTAACCAGGGCATTGGCTTTCCAAGAGGAAAGGCTCAGAGGTGCCTTATTTTAGTCAGTGTCAACTATCCCTGCAGCTCCTGGCTGAGAGGGTTCCTTGGGCTATCAGTAACATTCCTTTGGGAATTAAGGGGGAATTTTTCAGGGTTGTCCAGAGGCTCTCACAACCACTTGGAAAACCTTGCTCTTGTTCCCTGCCTCAGGAGGCACAAGTGCATGTTTTGTGAGCTCCCAGAAGGTTCTCAGGGCTGTTCCCTGCCCGCTCTGTCGGGCAGCTAGAACATGCCTCATTTTTCCTTCTGGTGAGGTAAAAGCAGGAATTCATCCCTCAGCCGAGCCCAGTGAATGCTCCCTGTGTATCAAACAGCCTTCACTTGAAAGCTCTTTGTCTTTTGCATGTGGGGTTTTGGCTGGCTCTGCTGTCTGTGGGATCTGAAGGGCAGTTTGTTCCCGGACAGGGCGGCTGGAAGGTTGGAGCTTGTGCTGGGTTTTGGTGCTAACTTATAAATGTTATCTGACTCTCAACTGGCTGAACAGCCTCAAGACATAACACTGATAGAGTTGAGCTCCTGGGGGAGGTGTGTGAGAGGCAAAGGGCAATAAATGGATTAAAGTGGAAGCTGGGTGCAGTTTGGTGCAGGTCTCTGTGCTGCTCAAGCTCCTCATGTGAGCTGCTTCACCCTGGGCCTGCAGTCAGCCCTGCTGTTGTGCCTCTTCACAGCCAGAGAAAGCACCTTTACATTGCAGAATTCCTGCTCATTTGTTCCAGCACAAGGTGTCAGGAGCAGGAGGCCTGCTGCAAAGGCTGGAAGTCCTTGGAAAGCTGGTCTAGTTTGGGGTGAGCAGTTTTGTTAGCGAAGCTTTATTTTCCTGTGCTCTAAACAGATGCTTTGCCTGATGGTTTATAAATCCCAGTTATAACTACGTGGTAAGGCTTGTATTGTGAATGCATAAAAGAAGATAAGGAAGTGATAATGTAGATTGTTCACAGTGCTGGACTATGTCAGAGGTTCATGAGAGTGATCATCCTGGAAATGGTAGCTTCAACTTGTACAAAGTACACAATATTGAAGTGAAAGTCATCAGAGTTGAAACCACAGACTGAGTAGTTTGAACTGAAGGTTTTAAATACTTCTGTTACAAGCTATAATATGCTGATGTCCCAGTGCAGCTCAAAACTATACAGGGATGACCTGAGAGCTCTGTGCTGTTGGGTTGAGTAACTCCATAGTCCAGACTGTGCAGCATTTCCCTCAGGACAATGAGGATTGTGGCATATTGGATCTTTCTCAGCCTACCATTAGCTGCAGTTGCCAAGTGGGGTTTGCATGTAGATAGGGTCTGAATTTGCATATTCAGTGTTTTAGTTTGAGTCTGATTTTAAACAACTTTTTTAATGTCTTAGTTGTGCTTCAGGCATGCTTTGAAACACCATGGAGTGTGTATTAGGTCTGAAGATCTGGAGGATACTGGTTTTCCTAGTCTTACCTTCCCTTTAAAACAAATACACATATATCCTCTGCAAAGCATTATTTTGTTAGTTTAGGTGTCTTGGTCCTCATACACTTTTGTGAACTGCAGAGCAAGGTATTTTTCTTCCTGTGGTTGGCTGTCTGGTTGCAGAAGGGCATGAGGACTTTGTACAAAATTACTCTTTCCTCTTATTATTAAGATAAGCAATGTGTGCTTATCATGTTACTTGCCAAATATTGTCAAGACTGGGCATATGCTGCAAAATCCAAGAAAAGAAGCAAACTTCCTGCATCTAATACTTTGAAGGCTGCTTCAGTGTAGGATTTACTTAAGTCTCTGAGAATTTGTCCTTGAGTAGTGAGCTGGGGAGGAAACACTTCTGTTCAGGGGAATCTATTCTAATCTGCAGCATATTTTAGTATGTCATGCACCTTGTGGGAGACAGCCAGACTGTGGGTAGAAGGCACGTGTGCCCACATTCCATGATTCCAATCAGTTCCTCTTCCTGGTGAAATGAATTTGGCATTGAATTTGTTCATAGCTCCTGTGCTTTATCTTTCCTCTGACCAGTGCAGGTAAATGAAGCAATCCTTTGGTTTATCTCAGGGCATTGGGGTGTGGTGTGGGACTGACAGACAGGACACTGCAGTGGAAGAGGAACAAAGTCCTTGTGGTTAAGCACATGACCTGCCATTGCATCACTGTGTATAGCTTTTCATCATCTCACCTATGGTCATTTGAATAATTTTTCATAGATTTTTCTGTCCTTTCTCATGCTGCATAAAATCCATTTAACAAAAGGTAAAACTGGGGACCTGTATTCCAATTAGAAAAGAAAACCAAACCAAATACTTATGACATTGGGGGTTGGACTAGGTGATCCTCAGAGGTCCCTTCCAACCCTGACCACTCTGTGACATTTCTTTGCATCTTGTGCTCTTAATCAGACTTTGGTTTGGAAGCTGTAGTAGCTGAAAACTTGCCATGTCATCTTCAACTGAAAAGCTTTTCTCCATCTAGCACACCTCTGCTTGGGGAAATACTCCAAAGAAACAATTTATCATTCCTCTGAAGCTTTAGGTGGATTTTGATATATATATTTTTAGAAGAAATCAGATAATCAATTGAGCACTGCCAAAAGCTTTTGTTCCTTTAAAAATGATGGATAAGATTCTTAAAAACTGGAGCAGAATTCTAAAAACTTGTGTGAGATGTTTGCTGAAACAGCTTTACATAATAATATACAACATGGTTTTATGCAATGATTGCAAAATATTTTACAGGAATGTGGTTAATGCCAAGAGGCCATTTTAAATATGAGGAAGCTGTGGTATGGAGGGGCTGAGAGACTGTCAACTGGAATTGAAATCACTGGGAAAATATTCTGGTTAAATTTCACAAGCTTTGTATCACGCCCTAAAGGACTTGTAGTTTACCATTCAATTAATTACAATTTAGATAAAAATAGAACCTAAATCCTAATCCAGTACCATCCTTAATCCAGTACCTTATTCACTGGTCCATGATCAATGTGTAGTCTTCTTCCTGTGGAAGGAATGGAATTTCTTTTTCCCTCCTAATTTAGTACTGGAGTATTGGAGTTTGTGGTCAAGCTGATTTACCTTCTCATTGCTAGAGAAAGGGGACAAAACTGCTTGAAAAACCAAACACAGCTTCCAAAAAAAACCCAACCCTACCCTAAACTCTGATACATGGTCCAGGGGTTTCAGATCCATGGTTCTTCATGGAGCTTTCTTTGCTAAAACTAAAATAATGGAGGAAGAAAAAACAAAAGGAAAAAACACCAACCAAACAAAAAACCACCCTCTCCTCCATTCTTCTTTGCCTGATTATTCCCTTAAATCCCTTTGCCTTCCTGATGCTGCTCCCTGTGCCAGTCAGCAGGACATCATCTTGGATCAGGGATCTCATCTGTCTCGACAGCTCGTTCACTCTTGAATGCAGCACAGGCCTCAGTCTGTTCCCTTCATCTTTACACAGAGGTGGGGTCAGTGTTTTCAGTCTCAGTGCAAGTAGAACCTTGGGAGAAGGGTCACAAACGGGTGCTCTGGGTGCGTGGGTAGTTGAGAGTTGGGGTCACAGAGAGCTTGGGTGTTTGCAATGATGTTTTTGGTGGCTCAGAGTTTGCATCCTGTCCCAGAGTAGTGCAAGGGGTGTTGTTTCTGCACACCAGCATGCAAACCAGAGCAGATCCTTCTGCTGAAATGTTGGGATTCTTGTTTCCAGTACAGGAAATTCAGAAGGACTGAAGGTGGTGGAAACCACTGCTTATGGCAAGGAGCAGGCACCGAGTGGAAAGAGAGCTTGGTCATGCACAGCTCTTAGACAGGATGAAAGGGAGGGTGGAGAGGAAAAACTCCTTTGTCTCACATAGTTTGGAGGGGGTGGAAGAAGAAGGGAGCCCTGCCCACAGCTCTGCCTCTCTCCTGGCTGCTCATTAAGCAAGACTTGCTGGAGGACATAAGAAATACAGCATTTTTTTTTCATTATGCTTGCATTTCAGTGACCTTAAAATCAAAACACTGGCCAAATGCCAGGTGCTGAAGAGAAGAAATATACATCCCAAAGTGACTGAGTCTGGGGGATCAAAGTTATTGCTTTGTCTCTTATACTTTACTAGGTCTTGTCACCATCATATTGAGAAACAATCTGTACCAGGGCAAGCAGTTTAAAGTTGGGGGTTTTTTGGCTTATCTAATAAAACTCTCTTGCATCTTTCCTTTGAAAGAAGGCTTTAGACTGAGTCAGAGAAGAAAATACAGAACCTATCCAGTGTGGAACCCAAGCACAACCTGTAAGGTGATTTGGATGAAAAGATTTTAAAGGGATGGAGTGGAACTGGACTTGGAACACTTGAATGTATTTCTCTTTGCTGTATGGCCTTGGGCTGGGAGTTGTGTGTGCATGTCTGTGTCTCTCTGCCTTGCCTGTTAAATAATTACTGCAGTAGTTCTGTGCTGTGTATAGAACTTGTAAACTTTATGGAGTAGGGATTTTCACCCTCAGAATGTGTATCTTTGCCTTTGAGCCCCCCCAGGGCCACCCAAATGGATATGCAGAGTAGAAGTGAGGGGGTCAGTTAGCAAGGAACACATTTCTGCCCAACTCTTAGGAGCCAAGCCTCCTACAAACAGCAGGGGTGTCTTCACAATAGGAGATCTCAAATGAGCAAGATCAATAGATTTATGTTGTAGGATTGTGATGAGAGTTACAATGTGTATTTAGTGGCTGCAGAGAGGAGAAAGGAAATCTAAATACTTTTGTTTCCCTTTGCCAGGCTGGTACCGAGGATACACACTCCGGAACAAATCTAAGAAGGTATGACCTCACTTTTCAGTAACTCTCATCTTTATTTCACACCTTGCCAGGTCCCATCCAGTGCTGTAATGTGCTGTGCTTCTGCTGCATTGTTTGTCATGATAATGTGCAGGTGTCCTCATCAATATGTCCCTTTCAGTGATAGAAATAAACGCCCTTGAGCTAAATGTTTCAGAGCCATGAGCTGGGTGCTCCTCCATTGTAACCCTGCGTAATGTAGTTTGAACTTGGCAAAATTGACTGTTGCACATCTGCATACACTGGCTTACTGCTTTATTATTATGGTCCTGGACCTGCTATGTGCAATGCTTACATGTTACATGTAGTGGTAAGTTTGGAGGTTTTGCTTTGACTTGGAAAATATTCCAATAATTATGAGTGCGTGGATCTCAGCCAAAGTTCCTGAGCTTTGTGAAGCCAGGCTGAAAAACTGCATGGAAATTAGGTATTCTGGCACCTCTCATGTGGTAACATCCTTCACAGTCCCCATTTTTCAGAAGATAGATAGGATTGCAGCAGGTTTCCCCTAAAAAAAGGCTGATGAATTCCTACAAGAGGTGTCATGTGTTGTGAGCTTTTCTGGGGAATCACAGGTCCAGGGCAACTTGACAAATGACTCCAAGGGTATTTTGTAGCAAGGGCAAATAAGTGTAACTGATTGTTTGCAAGTCTCATAGCATTTCATGCAGGAAGATGTGTTATTACAGTGAAAGTTCATGTCAAACACAGTGCTCCAGCTTGCCCCCTGATGCTGCTCTTGCTGCCTTTTTCCCTCTGGTACCTGGACTGGTGAGCCAGGAAACATCAGTCACAGTTCCTATTCTGCTGGTCCTGCTCTTACCCCTTCTCCCTGCTTTCTGTTAAATTCATTTTCTGTCAGGTCATACTCTATGATGTGATTTACTGATTTTTGTTCCTGTATTTATTTTTAGGGCATTTTCCCAGAAACATATATCCATTTGAAAGATGCAATCGTGAAGGACCGCGGGTAGGTTGGTGCTCCTTGAAGTGCACTTTTGGTAGCAAAACCAATGGAATGCTGTTTCATTTCAAAAACAACCAACCAACCAACTTAGTGGTGGTTGAAATGAATGCTACTGTTCTGTGTGTGCAGCTGGGCATGCCACCTGGGCTGGACTTGCAGAGCTGTATAATTCCTGGGGTTTTTTTCTGAGCATTGTACATAACAAAGCAGTTGTGAATGTAGGTGCAGGAGAATACTATGTGGAAAAATAAGAAGGCTCTGTTAGACAAGTTAGTAGTGAGGCAGGTTAGTCAGACTACATGGAGCTCCTCTGGGGACTCTGCAAATTATAACACACTCCTGCTCACAGCCAAGTTGTCAGCAGGAGTGTGGATTCCTTCCTGTCTTGGAAAATATTTGAGGAAATGACTCCTCATTTGATTCTAAGAGCTGATTCTGTGATCATTCTAGTGAGACGGAAGAAGCAGATGCAGAGGAAGAGACTTTAGAAAGTACTTTTTTAATAGCTGTGGTCACGTTGCCATTGCCAGTGGTGATTCTTCTAGACTTAATTTCTGTCTGTTTAGCATGTTTCTGGAATGGATCCATTGAGAAGAGCAAGGCTGAAGGAAACTTGAAATATGTTTACATTAAAAATGGACAATGAATGTGCATGTATGTGTTGGAGAACACATTGAACAACTTAAGAGTCTTGGCATTGTGAGTGAATTGTGTGAATATCAGGCCTTCCAAAACTTCCACTTAAATACTTAATCAAAACAGGCTGTTTTACTACTAAGTTTTAATCTGGAGTTTGACACCTTTTTTCTGTTTTCTCCTTTTTTTCCTCTAGACAACATGAAACAGTGATTCCAAGTGAATTGCCCCTTGGACAAGAACTCACTTCTACCCTGAGAGAGTGGGCAGTTATCTGGCACAAATTATATGTGGTGAGTTTGCTTCAGTGGTTGGTATTTCATTACATGACCTCAGATGAGATGAGTCTGGGCTTTTTGCAGGGCACTTGAAGACTATGAGGGGGACGTTGTACAGAATTGTAAAGCTGTCATTATTGTCAAAGTGGTTTAAGAGAGGCTGAAAATGTTCTGCTCCCCACTGAGCAGGGTGTTTGATCACAGAGAGAGCTGCAGTGCTGGCTGTGCTTGGATAGCTGTGTGATGACACAGCACTGAGGAAGCACTGAGTGGCACAGCTCACACTCAGCATCCTGTCAGCTGCTTGAGGCTGGGTGTGAGTCACACACAGTGGAAGAAGGGTTCCTGCTCTGCCTGTCATGTCTGTCCTGTATGAGGGCAAGATACCTCAGTTTGTGTGACAAACCATGGTGTTGTTTTAACAGAGCCTGTAGCCAGTGAGAACTCTTTTCCTACAAGCATTGTAGGTACTTAACAGAATGGTTGATCCTCACCCACCTACAGCTCAGGCAAGATAGACAAAGGATGGAAGAGAATTAGGGCCATGTGTGGTGGGGAAGATTGGACTTGTTAGAAGTCACACAGTATATTTAGTTCTCAGTAGGGCAGGGGAGAGACTGCTAAATCTGTTTGGTAGCCTGACCATATCATAGTCACTTCAGAGAAGTCAGAAGCCAAGGTAATGCATGGATTTTGCTGAGGTGAGTGCATTCTTACTCAGAGAAACACAACTGAAGTTCACAATTAATTGCCTTCCTTTGAAGTTGATGATTAAGGCACATTAAAGAGAATCACACTTGGTTTTTCTTCAGTCTCTGTAGTATGTGCTCAGAGACTAAGAGGAGAGAATGGGTTTGAATTGGCTCTAACCATTCCCTTTACCCAGAGCAAGCTTTCCTAGTGAAAATTTCACCAGGCCACAAGTACATTTTGTTTCTGAGCCACAAAACCACAAGAATTTGTTCCACCTTCTTAACATAATGAGTAGCTGCATGTGTGACAATATTACTGTGTGAAAAGAGAATTTTGTTCCTGGGTTTTTTTTCCTGAATAATTTTGGGATTCTAGCCTCAGAATCTGTTGGGTTTTTTAAGAGCAGAAATTTTTCATGTTCCTGTGCTTAACCAATATAAGTCTTAAAATAGTCTTGGAAAATGTTGTGGTTTCAAATGGATTGGAGTTGATTTTATTTTCCCCTGCAGTCTGTATAAAAAGAAAAAAAAAAAAGCTCAAGGAGGAAGGAGGTACTTCAGGAGAAAAAGGAAATACAGGGGATTTTTTCTTCAGCAGCATTTAATTTCAGTTCTTTGTGTGGTGTTCAGCAAGCATTGTACCAGTGGGTTTATCTTTGCTGCAAAATAAAGATTAAAAAAGGGTGAGAATTTAAAACTTCATTTATTTCATAGGATTTAGCTCATGCAAACAGCTGTAGAGATGACCCAGCTTTAGCTGACTGTCAAATTGAGATCTGCTGTGTATTTCCCTGAAAGTTAACACAGGTTCCCTGCTCTTTCAAATTAATAAAACCACACTTTTTGCTTTGTTTACTCAACATGTCTCTAATATTTTCCCAACAGGAACTAAAGACCTCACCTCTGTCAGCCCCTTCACATTTCCCCAAATTGTCAGGAAGATGGCTGTATATAACTCCCTTTTGGATTTGTCCTTAGGGGGCAAATTATGAGTATTTATATCATTCATGTTTTTTGTCAAGACTAGAATGGGGAACTAATTGAAATGAGTTCCTTGTTCTGCTGTGTGGAAGCAGTTTGGGTTCACAGTTCAGCTTTAATAGCTCTAGTACAGAGAACTGGTGCTCATCAGCTGCTGAATGGACCAGCAAAATGCCACCAGCCATTTCCCACTAGTGGTTGGGTGAGAGGTAGTCAAAAACGTCTTAACAGTCATTTTGGAACTGCATGACCATAAACTTTGTCCCAATAGATGAAAGTTTAATGTCCTGTGAAAATGAGCTGCAGTTGAGCCCTCAGTGCAAGTCAGAATCATCCTAGTAACTGGCTCACTATGCAGTGAAGAAAGGGTGAGTTCCCTTTTGAATGATCTAAATGGTTTAGCTGACACTTCAAAAGGCTTAATTGCTTTAGCTAAGCACATACTGCTAGGGATATGATAGGTTACCACATAGTTAGCCATCTTTTAATTACAGAGCCAGCCTTGGAGCCTGAAACTGTAAGAAAGAGGTGCCTAGGCACCTGACTAATTGTATTAGGGTGGAACCAGTAAATAGCATGTTCTTTAACTGAAGATAACAGTAGAAATGGCAGGAGGAAGCTCTTCACAAAGCAGGTTTTGGTGTCCTGTTCACTCAGTGCTTTATAATTACAGGTGCTGGATTCATAGCCAAAGATGAACATGCAGTGACTGCAGCAGTCACGAGCCAGTGCCTGGGGAGCCTGGGGAGCTGGGGCCTGGGAATCCAGACATGTGATCTTGTTATTACATTTTGGACAACCTCTGGCATGGCAGGTTCTGAGCAACTACTGCTGGGGCAGTGCCTGAAAGTGTGGGATGAGGCAAGACTGCATTGCATCAAGTTCTGTACAAATGTAAACACAAATGAGAGCTCTGAAGATCATCTTCAGCCTGATTTGCTGATAGACATCAGCCAGAGAGATGAGTGTGTTTCCACAGAGTGTTGGTCATCTGTCACTTTGGTTTGGTTTGGTGTGGCTTTTAGACTTAAAAGCAAATAAAGTTGTTGGTTAGGGTTTTTTTTGCCCTGGAGTCTTACAATCTAAGTAGGCAGAGCAGATGGGAAATGTGCACAAGAAGTGGTTCTAGGTTTGTCACACACTGAGTGGCAGAGTTAGGGAGAAAGAGCATTTGTATATTAAGTTGGGATTCCTTTCTCTATCTACTAAAACACAATTTAACATCATCTCTCTGTCCTGTATATAAAAAGCAGCCATCCTAGCAGTTTTGAAGTGCTGGAAAACACCCGAGGCCTATTTTTGGCCAGTGAGGTCTTTCTGAAATGCTGTTGAGAGGAAATGAAGACCCCAAATCTTGAGGCACTTAAACTTTGGCAGCGCAAAGGACTGGGGAGTTTGTTCCGTGGATCTAATCTTGCAGTGTCACATAGTGCTTGTTTCTCCTATTTTTAGTTAAATACAACTTGTATGATAGATTCAACTGAGCACACTTCAAAAGGCTTAGTGAGCTCATTGTTTTCAGGTCACTCCATTAGAACTGTCCCTCTCCCCTGCAGGATAACAAGACGACACAGTTCCGGCATGTCCAGCAGATGACCTACAGCCTGATAGAATGGAGGTCACAGATCCTGTCTGGAACCCTTCCCAAAGATGAGCTGGCTGAGCTCAAGAAGAAAGTCACTGCCAAGATTGACTATGGCAACAGGTACGCTCCAAACTATGTCTTGAGGGCAGGGGAGACTTCCAAATCCCAGCAGAAGGCTCTAGATGGCTCTGAATACAAATGGTGTAAATGACCACACCAGGGGAACGCTGAATTAGGTTTAGACTTTTCCTTGGAAGGGGGTTAATTGCAGCTTTCAGTCCCCATCACAATGTAACTAGGCTGGCAGGTGGGCACGTAGCAGTTGGTTCTTCATATGCCAGCAGTCTCTTTGAGTTGGCAGGAAACCTCACCTGTCTTAATTCTGCATAAATCCTGGCGTGTGGTGGCATTTCCCATGGAGCACAATTTGTGCCTGGCTAGCTGGAGCCAGGATTTGGATGCTGCTGCTGAAATAAACTGCTTTATCAGCCACTGAGTAATACAATTCTGTAGGCCACCAGAACTCCACCTTTCATTGGTCTGTACAGAGGAGGGATTGTCTCCAGAACTCATTTAGCTGCCTGTCAGACTTGATTCAGATCAAATAAGTCAATTAAAAAGAAAGCTTATGGCAAAGAATAATAATCAGACTTAATCCATAAGCCTGGTAGATATACTGTTTTTTTAAAAAAAAATACTTTTAAGCAAGGACAAAAGAGATGTCATCTTGGAATTAAGTTGCCTGATTAATGTCCCTTTAATGGTAAAATGGGGGATAAGTATTTTGAGACAGGAAAACAGGAAATGGAGTTGATGTGCATTGGCTGCCTAGTGCAGGGCAGTTTGATCTGGGGTTTGTGCTCCTTAAGTGACCTTTGCTTCTTGCATATTGTGTAATTTCTTTTGCCTTCTGACTTGCCTGCTCTTCAGGATCCTGGGGCTGGACCTGGTTGTGCGAGATGACAATGGGAACATCTTGGACCCAGATGAAACCAGCACCATCTCACTCTTCAAGGCCCATGAAACTGCATCCAAAAGGATTGATGAAAGGATCCAGGAGGAGAAGGTACACCTCTTGTTGCTGGTTTTGTCCTCTGCAAGTAACTAGTGCCCACCAATACTGTGTTTTTTCATTGCTTTTAAGGATTTTGTGCTACTTTGGCAGCAGAACTAAATTCTCCTTCTTTGCAGTCCCTGCAGCAGAACCTGGACCTCCGAGGGCAGCCAATATTCAACACAACACACACATACAGCCTCTATGTGAACTTCAAGAATTTTGTTTGCAATATTGGAGAAGATGCAGAGCTGTTAATGAGCCTCTATGACCCTGATCTCTCCAAATTCATCAGGTGGGGCTTTTTTGGAGATACATAAGCAGTGTTGTCATCACAGTGTTCATTTTGAAGGCACCAGCTGAGGTCAGAAAGGAAGATCCAGCAAATAATTTTTTCAGTTCTGGTTGGTGGTGATTTGGAAAGGGGTTATTTCACTTCAGATGAGATAGGAAGTCTAGGTTCTGGGCTCATGCATTCCCCTTTTTAAAGCTGGGCATTTCTGTGATACATTAGTCAAAATCCCACATTGTCTTTGTATGTTCTTAATTTTCCCTACTATTGTCACTCGACTTCATACATTTGACTAATTTTACTTCCCATTAAATCATGCATATGCATGATGTTTGCTGCCAAGTGAGTGCAAGTTCACACTTAAAAGTTGAGCATCATGTACTGCTAGGAGAAGATATGAAGAACTTTATCAAAGAAGCTTGTGTGTGTCAGGCACCCTCTGTCTCCACCAGTGAAGTTATCAGGTGTGGACATGAACTCTGAGTTCTGCCTTCTCTGAAATGAGTCACTTCAGAATCACTCTAGGATACAAGATTTTGGCAGAAGGTTTCAAATATTCCTAAAAAGATCAAAGTGCTGTTGAGCTTTTGCCAGGTAATGGGAATGTCAAGTGTTGATGTATTAAAAAAAATGTTTCTTCCTTTATTTGCAGTGAAAATTATCTGGTTCGTTGGGGCAGTAATGGGATGCCTAAAGAAATTGAGAAGCTAAATAACCTTCAGGCAGTCTTTACTGTAAGTTATTGCATTTAAATCCTTGAAATTCTTCCCCATGCAGCAGGCAGCTGAGTTTTGGATTCTTTGTCCCTTCCCCTCTGCCCATGTAGCAGGGAGGGGTCACATGTGGCAATCTGAGATATTTTCATGGACACTTCAGGTGTGATAGGCAGCCTCAGAGGAATGTTACTGACAAGCCTTGATGTATGTCAGTCCAAAGCAGAAGTAAAGGTGTATTATTTTGCAGTAGCACTGTCAGTGGGAGTTGCTCACCCATGAACTTCTGAAAATCCTATTAAGCACATCTCTGTTGGAGCCCAACTGTACCAAAAATCTAGGCTGGAAATCATAGTTGTTGGTTTTCCAGTTCATTGCTTTCTTGATCCTTTTCTGTGTTGGGAGTTTATTTGCAACAAGATGTTAATGGAAGAATTGCCCTTGAATGGAATAACTTCTGACAAGCAGCAAAGGTGGCACAAACTGACTGCCTGGTCATCAGCCTCTAGTAATTTAGCAATTAATATCATTTGCTCTCCTTCTAGTCCTGTTGCTGGAGTGTGTTATGAAAGAGTAGTGAGATGCTTAGAAATTGCTGTGTGCAAACTGCTAATGGTTTTGTAGTTTTGTTTGGTTTTTTCCCCTTGGGGCTCAAAGGGAGCAGGTTTAACTTCTAAAATATTTCCATTTATGTGTGTGTATAATCTAACAGAACAGTCTGATTCTCTTTGTTTTCTTCTCTTCCATTCATAAACAGATTGATCTAATTGTCTTTTAAATAATTTCTAGGATTTAAGCAGTTCTGACTTGATCAGACCAAAAATCAGCTTGGTGTGTCAGATTGTGAGGGTGGGGCACATGGAGCTGAAGGATGGGAAGAAACACACCTGTGGACTCCGGAGGCCCTTTGGTGTGGCAGGTATGAGAAATTCCACCAGTGGAGAAAGTAGCACAGCCCAGTGGCTGCACCAGTGGGCTGGGAATTGGGAAGGACATGTCAGCAAAGCCTCCTGGCTTTTCAGTGTCAGCATCTGCCTTCACAATGGAGGTGCTGATACCCCTGTGAGACCTGCTAATGAAAATTGCAGGTAAAGATGAGATACTGTTACTATTCAGATCTTGGTTTGTCACCCCTGCCAGCAGTGCTAGAGACTTTTCAGATCTTTGTCAAAGAGGGATTTGTCCCTCAGGACTGGTGGGATAAACCTGGAGTTTTTAAAGGAGACTTGGTGAATGAGAGATTCAATTCCTGTCATCCCTTGTGAAGAGACTTGCTTGAAATTTATGGTGGAAAACCATTTCAAAATAATCAGCATTTGAAATCTTAAGTGTCATTTCTTTGCCTTGAAATGCCCAAGTCCCATCTACGTTTTATTTATTCACACTCACTTCCATAGGTTGACATAAACATCAATGAAAAGGCACCTTTTAGAAAGTTAGGATGAGAGTGGGGCTCTCTGTTGCTGTCATGAGTGGCACTGGCCCAAAATAAGCAAGTGTTGTTTCCATTCTGCTTGGGGAAAGCTCTCTCTGTATTCTTGAGCAACTTGGCAAAACTTTGTGATGAACTTGTGTTGTTGCAGTGATGGACATAACTGATATCATACATGGAAAGGTGGATGATGAGGAAAAGCAACATTTTATTCCATTTCAGCAGTAAGTACTGGATGTCAGAGTTCATCACATATCTGGCTTATTTAAAGAGTTGTCCTTTGGAGAAGGACAAATTGGTATGGGAGCCTGGCAGGGTACCAAGGTATCTACAAATAGATTAGCTGATGGCAGTAGTCAGCTCTTTGAAGGAAGAGATTTCTGCCAGTCCTCTGAAGCCTTTGTTCTCCTTGGTTTGCATGTCTCTGTGATAGGCTGAATTGCTCAGGGAGTTTTGGCAATGCAGCTGAAATTGCTGGGTCTCCAGATCAAGAAAGAAGAATATGGTGCAAAATGATGATGGGGTCTGGGGGATGTGACCTTCACAACTAGGAAGAGGTTGAAAGGGAGGATTTTCAGAAGCACCTGAGCATGAAGAACACAATTTTTTGTCACTGCTCTGCAGTGCTCTCCTCTCTGTCTGCTTCCCAACTCTTCAGATTACTTTGTAAGAGTGGGTCAGAGGACAACAGGAGAGGGATTTCTCCCTCTTTCTGGGAGACAGGTTCAAGACCCAATGTATTTTGCATTTCTGCATTGCTAATTAGACTGGTGTGTTCTGGCTGCTCTCTGTTCATTTTTAAGCTCATCACAAAAACCAAAGTAAAGCTTGTTTGGGTGGGCTCAGCCATGTTGTTACAGTCCTAAATAGAGCAGCCCATTTGGTGTGGCTGTATGTTGTTATAAGGTCTTTTCAGGGGAGATTTGTGTGAGTTTTGTTGGGATTTTTTTCCCCTACTTTTTCAGGGCCTGAAAAGCTGCAAAGAAAGATGTATTTTCCTTTGCAGAAGAATGTAATGGTTTTTAACTGAAAGAGGGGAGATTTAGGTTGGATACTAGGAAGAAATTCTTCACCATGAGAGTAGTAAGGCACTGGCCCAGGTTGCCCAGGGAAGCTGTGGCTGCCCCATCCCTGGGGGTGTTGAAGGGCAGGTTGGATGGGGCTTGGAGCAGCCTGGGCTGGTGGGAGGTGTCCCTGCCCATGCAGGGGGTTGGATCTGGGTGATCTTTCAGGTCCCTTCCAACCCAAACCAGTCTATGGTTTGGTGATATAAACCTAGTCAGGGATTTTCTAGGTCAGTGTTACTTACCCCAAGCCTGAGCTAACACTGTGATGTATTTCCTAATATGAGACTTCAAATTTATTTCCATGGGGTTTGTGGAGGTGAAGAAGAAAAAAGCCCCAACGATTCCCATGGAATCTTTTTTTTAAAAAAGTATTTCTTTGGAAAACAGCTATTGGCCAGCCCTCCTCTTGCAGGGCACATGTTTGATGTTGGCCTGTCTGCTTCCCTGCCTCTCTTGTTGTTGTTCTCAGGATTGCCATGGAAACATACATCAGGCAGCGCCAGCTCATCATGTCCCCACTGATAACTTCCCATGTGATCGGAGAAAATGAGCCCCTCACTTCTGTCTTCAACAAAGTCATTGCTGCAAAGGAAGTGAATCATAAAGGGCAAGGTACAGCAATTGGGCCAGGAGCTGATGGAAAAACCTGGTGCAGGGGAGGGTTCCCTGTGCTTACAAATGGAGATAAATGGCTTGGGAAAGTCCAGAGATCCAGGCTCTGCTGGAGTTTGCTACCTGCCCTGAGCCAAGCGGATGGTCTCTAGTGATTGTCATCCCAGCACCCTGGCAGCTAAAAAAAACCCCAGACAGTCTCAGGAGCTGTTCTTAATTGCACAGAAAGTTTCTCTAGCAGATGACTTATTGGCTAGTAATGTATTTAAGGTAAAACTGTCCCTACAGATTTAAAATACTTTTAAGTGCACGTGGCTGATGGTGGATGCTAAATGCCTTTGGGTTTAAAGAGCATTATTCAGGATTCTCCTCTTGCCTGTGTGTCTGGCCTTTACTCAGTAACACTAGTGGATTAATCTCAAAGTTTGTATTTTACTTCAGAGAACCTGCTTGCTCAGTATGGTCTTATTCAGCACTGGGGAGATAGAGAACTGGGCAAGTGGGAACCAGCTTGGGATATTTAAGGCATTGTGGCATGGATCACATGAAGAAGCAGTTCTCTGATAAGCCTAGGCTTGACTTTCATGGTTTTGTCCCTTTTTTTTGGTAAACAAGTGTTACCTTTCTTAGGTCTTTGGGTCTCCCTGAAGCTGCTTCCTGGTGACCTATCTCAGGTTCAGAAGGATTTTTCCCACCTTATAGACAGATCAACTGCTGTGGCTCGGAAAATGGGGTTCCCTGAGATAATCCTTCCTGGTAAGCTCTGTATGCCTCTGCACTTCCATGGAATGAAAGAGCCAGCTGAAATTCCAGAGTTTCTGCTATGAACAGATGGATTTGAAAGATCTCTGAAGCTTGTTTTAATTTTTCTTGCCATTTTCAGACAGTCTTTTAATTTTTTTTGTCAAAGAAGTGAAAACATAAGCTTCCTTTCTTATATTAAAAAATGAGTGTGTGTGCTACTTGGAAGAAAACTTGTTTGTTGCATATAGGTTTGACCCTGCTCCACTTAATCCACTCAGTGCATTTAGCCCTGTAGAGCTCATTGCATTAAAATGTTACATGAAGACAGAGGGTTATAAAAAGGAGAATGGTACTTCTTAAAAGATTTTGTGTCATTTGAAGTGAAGACAAAATGATGTGATGTTGGGTGTTGTTGATTAGCTGGTATCAGTAAAGGCTAAGAAGAAGACTTGATATCCAGGGATGTTAATTGTTAACCTGTAAAACTGTGAGGAAAACTACTCATTCAGGTTTATGAAATTCAGGTGATGTTCGAAATGATATCTATGTCACCCTGATCCAAGGGGAGTTTGACAAAGGGAAGAAGAAGACTCCCAAGAATGTAGAAGTCACCATGTCTGTACATGATGAAGATGGAAATCTCCAAGAGGTACAATGGCCTTTGCAGGAGGTCACAAGGCTGCTGTGTTTGCTATGATAGCTCTGGGCCAGAGGATCTTATTTATCAGTGAGATGCAGGAACTGTGATCATGAACAAGAGATACTATAGGTGATAGGAGTGACCAAACTGGAATGCCTGCTAATTATTTTTTTGTCATTGATAAGAGATGTGAGCAAATCTGTAAAGATTCTGTAAAACTTGCAAAGAGGTGACATGCACTGAGTTCTCTCGACAGGGAGTAACTCTGACAGTCAGGTGCTCTGAAAATGTCTGCAGTTCTTGAGTGTGAGAGCCTGGCCCAGGTTGCCCAGGGAAGCTGTGGCTGCCCCATCCCTGGGGGTGTTGAAGGGCAGGTTGGATGGGGCTTGGAGCAGCCTGGGCTGGTGGGAGGTGTCCCTGCCCATGCAGGGGGGTTAGATCTGGGTGAGCTTTCAGGTCCCTTCCAACCCAAACCAGTCTGTGATTCTATAACCCAAGATACTTGTTGCTTTCATTCAAGACCTTACCTTTTCTTTCCCCATCCACCCTTTGTCTTTTTGTCCAAAGAAAGCCATCCATCCTGGTGCTGGTTATGAAGGTGTCTCTGAATATAAGTCTGTTGTTTATTATCAAGTCAAGCAACCTTGCTGGTATGAAACTGTTAAGGTAGGAGTGTCTCATTTACAGTCTTGCTTCCTTTGTGTAGGAAATGGAACTATGAAGAGTTTGGCCAGCAGGTCGAGGGAGTTTCTCCTCCCCCTCTGCCCTGGTTAGACTTCACCTTGAGCATTGAGCAGTTCTGGGCTCCTCAGTTGCTGAAGGACAAGGAACTACTAGAGAGAGGCCAGGGCAGGGCCACAGAGATGCTGAGGGGCTGGAGCATCTGGCTGTGAGGAAAGGCTGGGAGAGCTGGGGCTGCTCAGCTGGAGAAGAGGAGCCTGAGGGGGGATCTCCTCAGTGCTGATCAATATCTCCAGGGGGTGGCAGGAGGGGGGACCAGACTCTGCTCAGGGGTGTCCAGGGCCAGGACAAGGGGCCATGGACACAAACTGGAGCCCAGGAGGTTTGAGCTGAAGAGGAGAAAATCCTTCTTGCCTGTGAGGGTGGCAGAGCCCTGGGCCAGGCTGCCCAGGGAGGCTGTGGAGTCTCCATCCCTGGAGACCTTCCAGCCCCTCCTGGATGTGTTCCTGTGGGACCTGCTCTAGGGGATCCTGCTCTAGCAGGGGGTTGGACTGGCTGATCTCCAGAGCTCCCTTCCAACCCCACCACTCTGTGATTCTGTAATTTAAAATCAGTAGGTACATCAGTAACAGAATGTCCTGCAATTTGACTGGAGGCACAGGATGCTGGTGCTCATTCTCCCTGCTGTTGCAGGTGTCCATTGCAATAGAAGAAGTCAGTCGCTGCCACCTGAGATTCACGTTCCGTCATCGCTCGTCTCAGGAGTGTAAGTAGCAGCAGATCTGCAGGAGCACTGTCCTCTTCCTGCTCTCATTTTCATTTTCTGAGGACTCACAAAGGTGTAGTTCTACTTACATCCAGTGTTGGGGATTTTCTCACGAAGAAAGATAGATAATTCAAACTTTTTGCAGCCTTAAAAAAGGTTTTATGCTGGTTTTGTTCTAAAACTGAAATTGGGGACTAACATGTTTGCTCCCTTGGAAGGCAGTTATTCATGCTGATTGCTGCCTTGGCTTCTCAGTGTGTGGTGTTGTTTCAAAGTTATTTCAAGGCCTTCACAAAATTCTAGAGGGTTCCTGAAGGTCTTTCCTATAGGAAGATGACTCATTAGGTTTACAAAAGGCTAATGAGAAAGTTAGAGCCAGAAGTTTCATCAGACTTCTTCAGAGCCCTGAAATAAGTTTCATAATCTGAGACTAAGCCCTTGAAAGGCTCTTAAAATTCTCTTAGGGTACCTGGGGGATGCAGTGACATACTTCCACATCCATCCTTGACGAGCAGATTTGCAAAATCTCAACCAAAATATCTCTACAATTACATTTGTCTATATAGCAGCATAATTAACCACTACCATTGTGTGGCAAGAGATGTTTCAGAGAGGGGATTTTTCTGTGTAGTTGCAGATACCTACTAAGAGCCTTGAGAGGTGAGGAATGAGAGCACTTTCTACTATGGGTCCCAAGAGTTTCCTTGCTCCACTGCATCATGGTGTGATGCTACTAAAGAAAGAAGCTGCACATCCAGAGCTGCATTAGGGGTAGTATGGACATTAATAAGACAATTCCTAATAAAGGTTTTTCTTTGTGTTTGCAGCTCGGGATAAGTCTGAGAGAGCTTTTGGCATGGGCTTTGTGAAGCTGATGAATGCAGATGGAACAACACTGCAAGATGGCAAACACAATTTGATTGTTTACAAGGTAGCCTGGGCATTTGCAGTCTCCACTTTTGTTTGACTAATCAAAGCAATTCTCTTGGCAGACTTTTTTTCCTAGCAATGTAAACATCATAATTGCAGAGGTTTTTAGTAATTTTTTCTAGGATAACAGGACAGTAATATTCTGTGGGGTTTTGTTTGTTCTTTTTCTCTTTTTTTAAATAAGTCACTCTCAGTTGTGCTTTCACTGATGGGTTTTCTGCCTGCAAGTACACAAACGTGGTACATCCTCGGATGTCTCAGTACAGAGCATGTTTCCTCTAACATCATCCACCTAGACAGTGTGCAGCAAACAGGCCTGGGGAACTCCTGCCTTGGAAGTTTGGTGTGTGATGGGAAGAGAGAGCCAGTGCTTTTAATCACAGTGAGGGGAAAAAGTGAAGGCATTGCAATAGAAAACTGTGAAGGGAGAGAGAGGAGGAAGAAAACCCTCCTCAATACCATGGTTTGAATCACCCTGAAAAGATCTTGGTTCCTTGGCTGCACAGGCAACTTCTGTCCCTCAGGTTAAGTCCCAAGCAGACAATGTGAGTAAACAACCATAGACATGAGAAGGTGTTTAAAGCCCTTTCTGGCTGTCACTATGTGGAAGTGTCTGCAGATGAGAACTGCAGGAGGCCAGGTGAGGGGTACTGAGAGTGAGATAACCCCTGTCTTTGCTGTGCTCAACCAACAGGGTGACAACAAGAAAATGGAAGATGCTAAAAGCTATTTAACTCTTCCTTGTACCAAAACGGAGGTGGAGGAGAAGGAGGCCCCCTCAGGGAAAAATCTGCACCATCTAGGCAACTTCACACCCCCTAAAGACAGCACAAAAGACAGCTTCCAGATTGCCACTTTGATCTGCTCCACCAAACTTACCCAGAATGGTAGGTCTTGCATTAGCAGCCTGGTGGTATCCTGCTGTAATTCTGAAGGAAAGAGGGCTCTTTCTTTATGCAAATTGTTTGGCTTGCAGCACGTGTGGGGAAAAGCTTTAATCTTGCTGTTCCATGTCAAGGGCAGCTCCATCCCAGCATTGCTGGCATCATGTTGCCAGGAGAAAGAGCTTGACGAAGCCACTAGAGACCATGTCACATGAATATTTTATCCAAACTACCAATGTTTAATGTAACAGCTTTGTTGGCATGTAAAAGGAAAGGCACTCAAGAGTGACAGTGTGTAAGTGTGTTCAGAATCCTTTAGGTTTAAGGTTAATTGTCTTACCTGCATCTTTCTGCCCTCCTGCATCTAAGCTCTGATTGTTGCATTCTCTGTCCAGGCTGTTAAGTTTCACATGTGTTCTTACATCTGAAGGTAGTAAATGAATTTAGCTTCAGAAAAGAGATAATGTACATATTTCATTAACATGGAAGATCTGTGTGAAACCTGCTGGCCCCCTCTGAAAGCTTCAGCTGTGGTTTGTAACTAAACTTGAGGTCCTGGAGTGCCTTAGACTGTGATAAATAGCCCTGCAGCTTAATGTCATTTATACAAGAGGTTTCAATTTTAACTGCAATTGCCATCTCCAGGAGGCTGCTCTAAAGTAAACACAGGCATTAGTAAGAAAAGTCATGCACCCTAATAAAATTCCTGGCTTGAGAGATCTTCTTCTGAGTGAATGAGAAGCCTGCAAAATTGCCCACCAAACACCTTGTGTCATCAAATTACAACCAGTTTCCCATTTATAGCAAAACTCAGCTTTCTTGCCGAGCCAAAAGGACCACCTCAAGGTAATATTCTGTACATCAGGGTGACTTTTCTTTGTAAGCCACTTCTAAAAATAACCTCTAGGCTTTGTTTTGTGTTGTTCTGCAGCCAATAAGTCAGCTGTGGTGGTGTAATCTAATTGCTGCTGTTCTGTCCTTGCTAGTTGACCTGCTGGGTCTGTTGAACTGGCGTTCTAACTCCCAGAACATAGCTCACAACCTGAGGAAGCTGATGGAGGTGGAAGGAGGAGAAATTGTGAAGGTATGTGGAGAGATTTGAGTCTCCTCCTTATGCAAACACTTCTCTACATGCTTGATGTGGACCTTCGAGGGCTGAAATTGTGTTATACCCCAAAGGTCTCTGTGTGGGCCAGGAGAGCTCTTCTAGCTGCTGAGCAACAGGGCAACAAAAGGTTTACTTTCCTCCAAGAGCTCTCATTAGTGGAATTTCCCAGGATTACAGAAGGTAGCTGTCACCAGGCCTGGGGAGATATCAGTGACTCTATTTTTCCCTGTATCCTTATGAAATAGAAGGTACATTCAAGACCTGTTAATTTTCAGTAGTGGCTCTGGGCCTCCTTTGTGAATTGGGACTTGCTGTGTATGTAGGAACAAAGTGCAGAGAAAGGCCCAAAGAGCTCACAGTTAGTACCATGGGGAATAGATCTGAAATGTGGGCAAGTGCCACAGAAAATGGTCTGCTGAAGGATTTAGGAGGTAAGAGTTCCTGTGGTTCCAAGTGTGGGTCTTTTGGGGTTGTGCAATGTCATGAACAACAAAGGTAAATGCTGTGTCTCTGCACACCAGTCTTTCTGTCAAATGCCTCAGGATGTCATTGATTTGTCCCAGTGCAACCTTAATCTGTAAGGACAAAATTAGTTGGTCTCTTGCTGGATAAAAAGGTAACAGAAAAGAAAGTGAGGCTATTTAGAGTTCACAAGAAAAGATCCTCTTTGCTTCTAGTGAGGGAGAATAGTGGGATGGTCATGACAAGCAAGTGAATGAACACAGGGCTAAGATCCCTTTTAAAATGTTCTTTCATGTTCAACTGGGCTAGGCTGGAAAAATGGTCCAAAAGGGCAGGTCATCTTTTCACTATTTTTTTCTCCCTCCAGTTTTTGCAAGACACCCTCGATGCACTTTTTAACATCATGATGGAAATGTCAGAAAATGAAACCTACGACTTCCTTGTGTTTGATGCACTGGTGAGTGAGTCTTTCCTGTGGATTTAGAGTAAATTTTTTTTCAGCCACGTTTTCAGGCTGTTCCTGGTGCTTCCTTTAGGTGAGGGATTGGTATTTTGCTCTGAGAAATTTAACCAGTTCTGAAGGCATTTTCAGGAGCTAGGACTGAGATAGACATGGGGCTTTTCAGGGATCACAGTGACAGCAGCAGTAAACATTTACATAATTTATAGTAATTTCTTCAGATAACTCCTTGCATGAGGGCAATTTATAGAAGATAAAAGCCATGTTATCTATCAGGAGTATGAAGTGGAATGATTTGTTCAGGGTCATGGTGGAGGATTTATGGCTGTGGTGGGAGTAGGACTTATGAACCCTAAATCCTAGCCTGGTGCTTAGGCAGTAGGGTGGCTGCTGCTCTGAACCTTGACAGAAGGATTGTAAAAGGAGCCTTCACAAGGAGTTTTCTGCATCTTTGGAGAGGCTGCACAGGATGAGTGTGGAAGGCTTTGGGGTACAGTGCAGCAACAAAGCAGTTGCTTTGTGCTGATCAACAAAAGATGGGCTTGATAGTTCAGAAGGATATGTGAAGTCAGAGGTATCCAACTGACCCCAGGGGAGCATGGGGGGCAGAATGTCCTGGCTCTCATACACATCAGGGCAGTAACAGGACTGAGTGTTTGCTCCAAGTGTAGATGATCAGAATCTCAAGCTTGAAAGTGTAATTTCTTAGCTTTGCAAACCAGCAGCTCTGTGCCTGTTTAACTTGTGCTGTGACAGTGTCACTTGTGTTGGTGCTGCTTCCTGTGTCACCTTTGTAGTTTGGAGAAGTCACTCCCTTTGTCTCAAGGATTTCCCTTCTAAATGCTGCCATGGGCTACCTTCCCTCTGAGCAGACACCAGTGTTGATGAACCACACTTTCTGTAGCATTAATGCTGTTGGAAAACCAAACAAAACATATGACCCAGCAGAATAAATGACATGCCATCTGAGACTGAGTTATGCTCAAATTAGAGGTTGTGCAGCTCTGTACATGTGTTTCCTTTTGACTTTTTGGCAGGTATTTATTATTTCTTTGATTGGAGACATCAAGTTCCAGCATTTCAACCCTGTACTTGAAACTTACATTTACAAGCACTTCAGTGCAACCCTGGCATATGTGTAAGTACTGGTAACCACAACCCCCCAGGCTGGCATTCAGGCTGGTAAACTACAGTTACCTGATAAAAGCAGCAGAGACCAGATGAGTGTTCCAGCCTATTCTCTGGGATTTCTCTTTTTTTTACCCTGTAAAAGTTTCTGTTGTGAGACTGTTTCTGCAAATTCTGTCCAGTTGCTTCAGAAGAACCTTGTGCTCTGCCCATGAGGATGCTCACACATGGAAAAGGTGTTAGCCTGCTTTTAGTACTAATGTGTTTTCCAGCCTCCTGAGCACTTCATTTTAGGGGGGAAAACAAAAAAAAAAAGGCAGATCAAGAAGCTGGAACTTTCAGACAATTTTGTAGAGACTTTTCTGAGAATTCATAAACTGGTTATGAAAATCTAACATCCCATGAAGCCAAAGATTCCAGAAGGTTGTGAGGAGAACCCTTGTGTGTCATCTGTTTATTAGATTGTAGTTTCTCTCTGGAATAAGGGAGCTGGGCTTACACAGAAACTTAACTATGTCTGTATTTATTCTCCCTCTTGTTTTCTTTCCAAAGGAAACTCACCAAAGTCCTGAACTGCTATGTGGGAAATGCTGATGACTCCAGCAAGACAGAGTTGCTGTTTGCTGCTCTGAAAGCCTTGAAGTACCTGTTCCGATTCATCGTTCAGTCACGAATACTGTACCTGAGGTGAGCCCAAGGTCATTGCCATCCTTATGTCTCCTTTTGCAAGTCAGTGGAGTTACTTCCAGGCAGTGGAGGGGATATTTTTCAACATATCCTTGATTTAAGAGGGGTGTCTTCCTGCCTCTGTCTACAGCTGGAGCAAGTAAGTTGAGGGAAAACTGAAGGACCTCTTTTCAAGAGGAGAATCTTTAGTCACCTGTAGCATGTTATAAGCAGCTCATGGTAGTGCTGAAAAGGAACCTGTTGTTTATTAAAAAAATTGAAGCATGGATTCACTTCCTCATTTTAAGAAACAAATGCACAGTTATTTGCTGAGTGAGGTGAAGGTGACATGTTGTCCATTTAGGGCATGGTCAATGACCGTGGTTTTTCCATAGCCTCAAAACATGTTTTCAGGATTTATAGTGAATCCTTGGAATCCCTTCCTCATGTGCATTCTGTTTGTTTAATGCAGAATGAGCTGTTTGATCCTTGCAAGCCAAGCAGAGTTTGATGCAATGGCAGTTTAAAAAGTGCAGCTTTTCCCTTGTAACAGATTTTAGCAGGAAATGAATTCAGGCTCCCCGCTGCCATTTTTACACTCATGTCTTTGTTGAAGGAGCTTGCATGAAGATGTTGTTCCCCAGGATAAAATCAGATTTGTGCTACTGTGATACTGTCAGCCTAGATTTCTGTGTAGAACCAGCTCTTCCTGTTCTTGGCAGGTTTTATGGGAAGAGTGAAGATGGGGATGCGTTTAACGACGCGATACGGAAGCTGTTCCTCTCCTTCAACATCCTCATGGACAGGCCCCTGGAGGAGGCTGTCAAGATCAAGGTATGCAGGGCTTGCAGGGAGGGGTGATGGCTTTTATTACATCAACTGATGCAGTTGGAGGGGGGAGAAGGGGACAGGAAGTTCCCATGCACATAAAACCCATGCAGATGAGTCACACCACCTCTGAATGTCTGTTGTAAGGAGCTGCTGTGTGGCAGGAAAGGAGCATTTAAACCCCAAAGCTGATCAAATGAAGGTGAGAGCTGTGGGTTTGCTGAAAGCCCTTCAGCCCCTGCTAGGATGAAAACCAACAACCCAAGATGAAATGTACTGCAGTGTGGAAGACACTTCAAGCAGGAACACCAAGTTGAGGGTGATGGAGATAGAAATGTGAAGTTGCTGCAAAAATCAGTCTAATGCTGGGAATGGAAGTAGTGAAAAAACACATGGTTTTTACATGTGTCTCAGATTTTCTACTTCCTTTTTTATCGTGTTAACAGGATTATGAACTTCTTACTCTCTGAGGAGGAGCAGAGCAGCCTGCAATGAGGCTGCTGCACTGCTAAAGGCAATGAGGCCTTTAGGTTGCTTGCTTTATTTCAGTTCTTCTAGCCAACATGCTTTCCTTAATTTGAAGGAAAGCCTGATTCTAAGCTTTTAATTAGCAGTTGAGTGATTTAAAGCCCAACCTTGCTTCTCATGCAGTCAGAGTACCTGCTGGCAGCAGCCACAGAACACCACAGGGAGACCTTTAGTTCCTGTTGCACGTTGTTGTCTGGATGTTACATTTATGAAAGCCAGACTGCAACCTAACTTATTACTATGTATGTGGACATGCTGAAGTGTGCAGAACACTGAATCTGGTTTAGTGACTGGTGCTTTTTATGTCAGGCTGTAAGGAGATTAATCACTGGAACTGCAGGATGTTTGCAAAAACTGAAGAACTTGGCTGCAAATCCTTCCTCCTTCACCTTTTCCACTGTGCTCTGCAGATGTGTGGTTGCTGGAGGGTCTTTGGATACATAAATTTTGATGTTAAGCCAGTTCTCTACAGGTGTCTGCACATTTGAGCTTGACAAAAACTGGATTTGTCCTGTAAGCTACAGGCATTGTGAGGCTTTACACCCTTTTAGAATGAACTAGTTAGTCTAGCTGACTTTCCATGTGTTTCATGTCCTTGTTTTCTTGTTTTCTTGCAGGGTGCAGCTTTAAAGTATTTGCCAAGCATCATAAATGATGTCAAACTAGTATTTGACCCTGTTGAGCTCAGGTAACCATCTTAACTTTGTTTGTCCTCCAAACCCAGCTTGTCTGCTGGGAAGAATTTTGGCAGCTTTCCTAAAGACAGCCACTCTGATGATGACATGATGGTGCATGCACTGTGCATGTGTTTGGGGAAGTGCTTGCAGGGCTTTGAAGGAAGTCAGTTCAAGTTCAAAGGAATCTGTGAATCTCAACTGCTCTTTCTTAGGCACTTTGAGATTTTACTGAAAACCAAATTTTGTTGAAATGTTCAGGTTGCCACCAATTATTAAATACTGCTTCTGAGGTGAACCAAAATGTGTGGTACAGGCAGGAGCACAGAAGCTGGATTTGTTCAGGGAATTAACAACACTGTGGATCTCTGTTCTTTGGTGTTCATAGCTTTGCCCAGAACCTTCCAACCCTGCCTCCTTGTTCTGACACAAATAATTTGCTCATAAGCAGCAGACAGACAGCAAATGTACATGGATTTAATTTAATGGGATCTCAGATTGAAATGAGTCATTACTCTTGATGAAAGGGGCATCTGGAAGGATACACTCTTGCCATTGTATATTGTAGTGTTTCAAGTTTCAGCAGTGGTCTGCTCAAGCTCTGCAAAATTCTGCTTTCATTTTGCATTAAAGTAGGTATGATTGTCCTGTGCTGGCACTGGAGGGAGGACAGTATTGTCTATTTATAAGCTTTTGTGATATATCTGCTGTGTCAGTGGATGCAGTCTTCATTTTAAGCAGTTTAAGCCTGCAATTTGTGAACACTGCTCAGTTTTACTAAAAATCCTAAGTTTCTTGAAAATAAATTAGGGCTCCACAGCAGTTTACTTGGAGACCACTTGGAGGTAACTTGTCCACACAGTGACAGAACTGCTGGACTTGCCCAGGGGCAGGACAGTGTAAGTGCAGGATGGAATCACACTGGGTGAAAATGCTGACCAGCTGCTTCCTTTGTGGTTTGCACACTAGTGTCCTCTTCAGCAAGTTTATCCAGAGCATTCCTGACAACCAGCTGGTTCGACAGAAGCTGAACTGCATGACCAAGATAGTTGAGAGTGATCTGTTCAAGCAGTCTGGTAAGTGACAAGCTGCAACCTCTGGCTTCTGTGTGGGGCCGGGCACCCTTAGAAATACAGTGGCTTTCAAGTTCATGTGTCCTTTCCATCAGTGGTAGCCAAATGTTAAATCCATCTTTAGAAATATTCCTTGCCATGGAACAACTGAAATGTTGCTGTTCAGTCTTTATACATTGCCCACTGCTGTAGGATCCTGAGCCAGGTGGTTTTCTTAGGAAGAGGTAGAAGGTGAGGATGTGAATTTGGTGCAGTGCTTATTATTGCAGGTTCCTGGTGACTCCAGCCTGTTAGTGGTAACTCAAGTGGATTTAAGCATGTTTTGGTGTCCAAGATAGTTATGAGCAGGAAGCTACTGTGTGGTGTCCGTGCTGAAGAACTTGCTGAGACCAACAGGACATGGTGCTGTGCTTCCCTTTTCAGAGTGCAGAGATGCTCTCCTGCCACTGCTCATCGACCAGCTGAGTGGCCAGTTGGATGACAACTCAAACAAGCCTGACCACGAGGCCTCCTCACAGCTGCTCAGCAATGTTCTTGAAGTCCTGGATCGGAAAGATGTGGTGAGCATCAACTGTCAAGGGGGCAAATGAAGGTTAAATTCTTCTTTTGAGAAGTGACAGCAAAGAAATGGTCTCAATTTGTGCCTCACACAGTTGAGAAGTTCTGATGTTTACAGAAATTGTGTTGCTTTGCTGTGTAGTTCTTTGAGTCTCTTTGCACATGAAGTAGCTGTGTCTAAAAAAGAGCCATGAGAGGCTGAATTAGTTGTTATCACTACAGTACAAAAAGCAATTGCTTTCCTTTCCAGGGACCCAGCTACTTTGGTGGCTTGTTGATTTATCTGGAGCAAGTCAAGAAAGCATTTGTTTTCTTGCTTCCTCTGCAATGAAATAGGAGCAACGATTGTTACTCAGCCAGGATAATACAGTTACTTGCCACAGTAATCATGGAAATTGATTCGAAGTTGCAATGAAAAGAATAGTTTGAGCTGAAGAAGCTGTTTGGTTCAGCTGTGTCAGGATGAACTAATGAAGCTGGGTTAGATCAATCCTGCCAGCTCCTCACCAAGCCTGTACCTACAGTGTCTGAATCGATTGCGCGTGTGTTTTAAATCTGCTTTTTTGCATCCTGTAATAACAATTAACCACCATCAGGGCACTTCTCCCTCACGTGGAGCACTTTGTAGGGCACTATACATGAAGAATTGTCTCAGAATTTCCTTATTGCCTATCCCCAGGGCCCCACTGCTCTCCACATCCAGCTGATCATGGAGCGCCTGCTCAGGAGAATAAACCGCACGGTGATCGGGATGAGCAGACAGTCCCCACACATTGTGAGAGCCTTTTCCTTGCTGCAGCTATCACTTCACCATTTGCTATAGTGGGATTGATTCTCCTGGGAGATTTCAATCTGTAGCAGTGGTTTGTGAAATCATCTTTCCATTTCCTGCAGGGCTTCTGTGCCACTAGAACGTGGCTTCTGGTGGTGTTCGGAGACCGGGTGTTAGGATAGAAATTGTCCCATTCCAGCAGCAGTTTGAGCTGAGTGGCAGCTGCCTGTGCCATCAGGTGCCTTTGGGCTTTGATGTGCAGGCAGTGAGAGGGCAAGGGGGAATGGATTGAAACTGGGAGAGGGAGCTGGAGGTTGGAGATGAGGAGGGAATTCTTTGGTGTGAGAGTGGTGAGAGCCTGGCCCAGGTTGGGCAGGGAAGCTGTGGCTGCCCCATCCCTGGGGGTGTTGAAGGGCAGGTTGGATGGGGCTTGGAGCAGCCTGGGCTGGTGGGAGGTGTCCCTGCCCATGCAGGGGTTGGGTCTGGATGAGCTTTCAGGTCCCTTCCAACCCAAACCATTCTGTGATTCTATGATACAGCAATACCTTATTTTTCTAACTTTAAGGTCAAGCTAATGCTATTACCAGGATGTCAGCCATGAGAATTACAGTTGGCCGTGGGAAATTTGAAAATCATAGGATCATTTAGGTTGGAAAGGACCCTTAAGATTTCACTAAGTGGTTCATTTACATATGTGTTCTATGTGTTCCATTGTTTTGAGGGTGTTGTTTTTCTTGCAAACTGTGATCTCTAGGGAGAAAGCAAGCTATCCTCAGTGCATAATTGAGATTTAGGAAGTCTTCACATTTGGTAAGGCAGAACTGTGAAGGCATCTGCCACACTTGGAACTTACAGTGTAAAACAGGAGAATAATCAATGTTTTTTTTTCCCTATTCCAGGGCATTTTTGTGGCCTGTATGACAGCCATCCTGAGGCAGATGGATGATTTCCATTACAGCCATTACATCAATACTTTCAAAACCAGGCAGGACATTATTGTAAGTCAGCCTGACTGAGGGATTAGCTCAGTCCATAAAGAATTGCACTCTGCTTCTGAAAGGTCATTTCGAGTTAGTGTGCTCAGTTTGGAGTGATTTTACTGCATCCATCATTGCACCCCAATGACTTGTGGGCCACAGTCACTGGGGATGTATCCACATCACCCCTGCTGGGGATCCACAGTGAGTGTTGCTGACTCAGTAGAGCCTGAAAACAGCATTTGTAGCATTGAGTAAAAACATGTTTAATGAATATTTAAGCCTGGGCAAGTAAAAAGTCAGGAACCAGAAGAGTGAATCAAGATGAAAAGCATTTTCCCTCTCCTGCTCTCACTGTATCTCTTTGTGACCCTCTTCTCTTTATCTGCTTCTTTCTAATTCTTTCTTCCTCTCTAGGGTTTAATTAAGTGCTTTCACCTTACTTTAGTGGGCAGCAATGCAAATAGTTCCTTCCATGTTAAAGACATTGTACAGTTCATGGCCCCAGAGACTTTCAGTATGAAACTAGGTGAAACATTAGGTTTTAATTTTTCAGGGTGGGATTTTGAGGCCCATAGAATGAACAGCTCTGTCCAGATTTTTTTTCTGCAGACTGTTCAGAGTAAGTCAGAACCAAAAGTACTATTTATTCAAGTCTCTGAAGAATGGCACAGCAGCTGTTCTGGCTTTTTTGTCCCCATATTCCTTGTTTTGCAACTTAGGAGTACTTGCTGATTTTAATAGTGGCTGGGGAAGAGCCTGGATTTATGTGCTTCTGTAAAAGCCAGATCAAAACCCACAAGAAAGTGTTTGAGATTCATTTTGGGTGGCAAGGTGATCTGTTTCTCTGAGCAGTTGGAATTGCTTGCAATCTGTTGAGCAACATAGCCACCTACAGGACACACACATTCCTGTCACTTCTCCATCTGAAAGGCATTGTCAGAGAGCACTTATCTGGCTTTAGAAATACTTTTTATAGCACCTAAGTATTTTTTTGGGGGGTGAAGGGAAGAAAATCGTGTCGATTCATTAATTCTGCTACATCAAGTAAAGGAGTGAAAAGGTTTTCAGCAGGGTTATGTAGAAATACTGCCTGAGGAAGAAGGGTGTTAGGAAGACAAATCTGTTGGAGTTGGGAAACAGGTGGATTCAAGGCTGAAATGAAACAAATTTATGTTGGATGGGCCTCAATTCAGATTTTTTTTTATTTTTCCTGAAAAGCAGTAGAGGTAGAATAGGAGAATATTGTAGCTTAAGATCAAGGTAAGGTTAAAGAGGTGCTTGAAGGCTTTCCTGTAATGTAAGCTTCAGATTGAAGCTCAGCTTACAAGTTGAAGATGTCTTGTTTTGGCTCAAATAGGAGAATGTTTCTGTGGTATTTCTGTGTGAAATAGAAACAATTTTACAAGTCCTTCTATCTACAGAAGCAAACCCACACTTGTGGTGGTGTGGCAGTTGTTAACACCAACAGAACATTGCATTTTATCTTACTGCAATCATTACTTGTTTTTGTTGTTCATTGTTGGTTTTTTGTTGACTTTGGTACTTCCAGCCCTGGTGTTGCATCATTACTGGGTTGGTTTCACACTATTATAAGTTAATTTATATCTTCAGGGTACCCCATGTCAAGTCCAAACCTTTCCTTCAGGATTTAATAATCCCCAGAGGATTTTTAACTGAGGCAGCACCAAATCCCCTTTTCTCTCCTCACATCAGTGTTGCTTGCCAATTATGCAGAGCAAGCTGTTCAGCTCAAGCAGAATACTGGTTTTACTGGTGATCTTTGCAAGGTGGTGATTTCTCATGTGACCTTCTTTGTGTCCCTCATCTTTGTAGAGAAGAGATTCCATTTAACTGCTCATAAGTAGCATTTATATCTGTAGAGACCCTAATGTAGAAATCCATATTCTTCATATTACCTGCTTTTGTTCATCTCCCTTTTCCTTTTCCTTTTTTCTTATTCCACAATTCAGCCTTGCCCTGCAAGAGTTTGAAGGTGTGATACAGCTTTTCTTGGAGCAGTTTGTGCAAAAAGGAGTCTTTTCTACAGTGCTGTTGTAATCCATGTGTCTGACATGTTCACTGTCCCTCTTAAACTGGATCAGAAAAGACTCAACTAATTGGGGATGTGAAAATACATTCTAATTTCAGTCATTCTAGAAGATAGAGCCTAGGGCTGTTCCACTGTCACCATTCAGACATTTGGAAATAAGTCCTTCAATATGGGTTTTGCTTTTTAATCCAGCTTGTGCACCAGAGCTCCCTACAACACAGCTTAATTCAAAACAGTAAAGACAGATTTAATTAAACAGATCAACTTGTTGTGTGGAATTATTTCTCCTTCTGTAGCTGAATGGATGAGATGTCAGAAATAATGTAGTTACTGGAATATAACAGAACAAGAGGACCCTCTTAGGAGGTACAGTGTATTGATTGCTGATCAATGCAGTCATTAATCAATGCAATTGCAAGCATTTGCATTTCCCAATATTTTCCTGTGGGTAAAGGACTACCATATTCAACCTGATGGGCTGTTGTTCTTATTTTTCTAACAGGACTTCCTGATGGAAACATTCATTATGTTTAAGGATCTGATTGGAAAAAATGTCTATGCAGCTGACTGGATGGTCATGAATATGATGCAGAGCAGGTACCAAGTTGCTGCTATTTTAAGACTTGCTGCTGCTTTGGAGCCTTTTTGTTCCTGCAGGGAGGGTGGCTCACACAAGCAGGCTGGAGCTACATGGGCTTGTTTTCTTTTACAGTCTCAGGGTGATTTAAATTAGATTTCAGTGAAGTGCCTGCACACATCTGATGGAGCTAGAAGCCTTTCTCCTTCTGCCCAAAGGCACACAACCAAAGCCATGCCATTTTTTATCCAGCCATTTATCTGCTGGCAAGTGCAGCAAAAAGCAGAGCAGCTTTTTTGGTTGCAATTCTGGGGGAGCCACACAGCAAATGTAAAGCTGGACATAAATATAGTCTAGGGTTTAGTGTGCTGGCCTGTAAACTAGAGCTACCCTGGTTCACTGCTCTGCTGTGGACTTGGGCCTTGTGGGAGTCAGCTCTCCTGCTAAGTCTGTACGACTGGGATGGCTTTGGCTTGCTGAGCACCAAAACATGGCCCAGACCTGGTACCCATGCCCCAGCAGGGGCATCAACAGCACTGGGGAGACAATGAAGAGACAACAAACCTGCACCTGGCACACATGTCATGCATGTCCCCTTCAGCAGGCAGCACAGCTCCCCTCTCATGGGGGTGCAGTGGAGAAGGACATGCCAGTAGCAGGGTATTTGAATGTTTCAGTGGTGGGGACAGTCTAAACTGGAGAAGCTCCCATCTGGAGTGACACTGCACTGGCAGAGATTGCATGACCCCAAAGTGGTTTTGTTGTTCACCTGCCTCCAGTCAAGGTTTCTTCTGTTTACAGAGAAATAACCTGCCGGAATGTCCCTCTACTGGGAAAGAAGTGAAATGGCATTAGAAAGGAATACCTGTCGTGTTTGGAACAGACAGGGTCTTGTCTCCTCAGCTCACGTGTAGGACTCATAAACAGCAATACTGTTTTTTTTTCAAGAGCCACCTTTTACTTGACACTTTCTCTCCTGCAGGGTTTTCCTGCGGGCAGTGAACCAGTTCACCTCCGTGCTCAACCGGTACTTTCTGGATCAAGCAAATTTTGAACTCCAGGTAATGTTCCATTCTTCCTGGATCTTCTTGTGGGACCCCAGTCCTGAAAGGCAGGAAGAACAGATTTGGTGATATGGAGAATGCCTGTGGAAAATGCCCTTAGTCTTTTATAACAAAGCAGCAGAATGTGAAGCAGTTTAGAATTACAGAGCTGTGGTTAGTGCAGCAGCAAGTTGCAAGCACACACAGCTGCTGCAGGGCCTTAGGAGCCCAGGCTGAGCAGTGTGCTGACTGCAGCTGCTTGCCTAGTGCAGAGCAGAATACTGCCTGGGTGTGCCCAGTGTCACTTCCTTTAGCTGGGAAGCATAAGCTAAAAAGAGTGAGAAATGTGAAGCTGTTCTATGCTTCAGACTTGCCTGCTGTAGCTGAGTACAAACCAGCAGCATCACTGGTGCTGCATTTCCTCCTTAACACTCACCTGGGAGAGCACAGCACTTGAGGCTGTGTAGATCTGTTCTTGCTTTCCCTTTGTCTTCTCCTGTTTGAGGCTTGTTTCTTTCCCACAGCTCTGGAATAACTATTTCCATTTGGCAGTGGCCTTTCTCACTCACGAATCCCTCCAGCTGGAGACCTTCTCACAAGCCAAACGCAACAAAATCATCAAGAAGTGAGTTTATACTTTAAAAGCTGCCAGACCTTTTTCCTTTTAAGATGCTTCGTTTGGACTGTCCCAGACATACCCTGCAACCATCTTAGGATGAGATGAAAAATGCCATGGAAGTGCTGGATTAATGAATGATAAGGGGAGGAGAGGTGACTAGGACAGATGTCAGCTCTTCACACTGTGGGTGTGTGAGTCTGCTCAGACAGATCCTGAGTTGTTTGAGCTGAACTTAAGCACCTTGCCAAAAGATTTTTCCCACTGCAAGGTCTGTCCTAGAAGGCTTGACATGGTTCCCACACCAATACCTTCTGCAATTCCTCAGCCATTGTGTAAAGTAGATAAGAAAGGAGCCTAAAACCTCTGCAACTTTTTGGTCCCCTCTTTGTTTTTTCTGTTTTGAAAGTGAGAACATGTCAGAGGCATTAATCAACCCAACAGTAGGAATTTTTAGTCACTTGGCAAAATTTGCCAAGACACTGAACACCTTTTACTTCTGCATTGAGCTGGAATCAAATGCCTAAATGTCTTTGTAGATCTTGACAGAGTTTTATTAGGGCATACCTAGTTAATGTTTGCCATCTTTTTCCTGCAGCAATGAGGACTTTAATGAGCTTGGTAGTTAAAGATTCTTCCATTCTCTTCAAGTTAAATGTAATGTCAAGTTGAAGCTTTTAGGGAAAAACACCAAATAGAACAAAACTTTTAGAATAACAGGAAACAGGAGGACTGCAGCTTTGTTGCTGGCTGGGGTAAGGAAGATAAAAGATGTGGTGATGTCCTGGTTTGAGCCAGGATGAAGCCAATTTTCTTTTCCTGACAACAAAAGGCACATAATAGTGAGGAACTTCCCTTAGTAGGGAGGTTATTCTGGGGAACCCCTGGGTCCCAGCACGTTCAGGTTTGTGTGGTGCTTTTCTAAGAGGAGGGTAATAGGTTTTGTGGTTTTGCCATTAAATTTCTTCTGCAACTTTCTAAGGCAGTTTCAATGCCTAGGCCTTTTAAATCTTTTTCTTTCTAATACTTTTTCCTAGGTATGGGGACATGAGGAAAGAAATTGGCTTCAAAATCAGGGATATGTGGTATAATCTGGGTGAGTTCCAGCTAAAGAATTCTCTTTATTCAAGCTCTTGAGCTGGGTTTCAAATCCTTTATTTCTTTATAAAAGCTGCTCATGTTTAATGTGGGAAAATACACTTTAGGTTGAGCTGTTTCAGAGCACAAAATCTCTTTTTCTGGGAGTAGCTTCTTGTCTCATGTCAGCTGCTGAGCTAATTTGTTAGATTCTTTATAAAGGTTGTTCTACTGTATGAAGGACAAGTGGAGAATTTTCTGGAGAGCCTTTGTGGTTTCCAACATGCATGCAACTCACATTGGTTATTTTCCTGGATTATTCCAGAGTTTTGGAACCATAACATGTGAAGTCTACCTTCAGTATCCATACACATAAGATGCCTGCTAAGCACAGTGTCTCAGTTTTATGGTCTTTAATTTATATGAATAATGTGCTTAAACGTCAGGATATCCAAATCCAGCCATGTTCTATTAGGATGTATCTGACTTTCTTGCAGGTCCCCACAAAATAAAATTCATTCCAGCAATGGTAGGGCCAATCCTGGAGGTGACCCTTGTCCCAGAGCCTGAGCTGAGGAAAGCCACCATCCCCATCTTCTTCGACATGATGCAGTGCGAGTTTAACTTCAGTGGGAACAGAAACTTCCACATGGTAAGGGGGTCTGGGATCTTCAGTGCAGATGTTCCACACTCTGCATTGGGCAAGGAGGGAGTAGGGAACATTTCAACCAAACAGGAAGACCACACACAAACCAAGCATTATGCCAAACACTTGGATGGATTGTTAAGTTTTTTGCAGGAGCCAGAACTCTTCAGTTCTTTCCCTGACTTTACTTTTGCATGACTTTGGTAATTATTGAGCCACCCTTTTCCTTTTTTTCTGCATTAGTAGATGTCTGAATACACACATCTAAATTGTGAAGAAATCTGGAGACCCTAAGATTCTACAGAATAGTGTCTAGATACATTTTTAACACTGAAATTCCCCCATGGCAAATTTTTGGCTGTAAATATAAGTGACCATAGAGAAAACTGCTGGACACTCAGAACTGTTCAGTCCTTAGTCTGTTATTAACCTTAAATTTTAGAACACATTTGTGAAGACTGATGCCACCAGTATGGAAAGTAGAACTGTGATACAAAGGACAGACATGATTTGCTTGAGGCTACACAAGTGAAAGGACAGAGCAGGGAACAGGCCCTGGATTCCTGAGTCCAACCCTGTGCTAGTTTCTTTAGAAGTTACCTTTGACTGCTACTGGGAGAGCACCAGAAAGTGAGGAAGGAAAAGGAGGATCTTAGCTTTTGCCCTGAGTTTTCTCTGCAGTTGCTAAGGACTTATTCTTCCATTTTTCCCTGGGGATATCAGACTTTAACATCTCAACTGGCAGGCAGGAGACACTGTAGTAGTGCTGTAGACAGTCTTCTCCCTGGAGATAGGAGCCATCCATCCAAAAGGCAGCCACCTTGGCATTTCTGACTGTTGTCAGATGTGATGTGCATCTCCCCAGGCACCATCCTCACACCAGCTTACACCCCAGCTTCAGTGTGCATGTAGGATCTTTCTTCCCCTGGGGTCATCAGTCTTCAGTGTGGTTGGCCACAGGGTCTTGGGGATTTTTGGAACTGGGAGAAGGGAGCAGGATGTGTGGGGCATGGATTTTCCATTCCAGTGGTGTTTATATGTGAGCTACAGTTAGAACTGGGACTGGGTATTTGACCTTCTTGCACATAACTGGGTTTGTCTTTATAGCTCAACAGACAATCACACAAGCCTTGGTTCTTGCAGCTTGAGAAGATGCATTAATTAGTAGTCACAGTGTTTCTGGTGGCCAGAGAGTTATGACTTGCCCTTGACTGATGGCAGGAGTTCAGTTTCTTCAGGGTTAGTGGAGGACCTTTACAATCTGTAACTTGGCTGCTGAGATGCTTCTCCATCCCAGCACAGCTGAGCTGCTAATGGATGGAGGAGAAGACAAAGCATCACCCCAAAGCATGACTCTCCAGTGTCTTAGGATAAGAGAGGGGGACTTCAATTTCCTTGCTGCAAATCTTGTCATCTTATTTCTTACCATCTTATCCTGTACAAACAGTGAAAGCATCTTCCAGCTTAGCTTGTGAAAGCAGCATGTGAGGGTGGGGCAGGTCAGAAATGCCAGCTGGAAGCATTGCTGCTGTTTAGGCCACACTGCTGTCTATTTGATTGTGGATTTTGCCTTTTCAGTTTGAAAATGAGTTGATAACCAAGCTGGATCAGGAGGTGGAGGGTGGCCGAGGGGATGAACAGTACAAGATTTTACTGGAGAAACTGTAAGTTTTATAAAGAACATGGAGGCTCTTTTTTACAGCTTAGTTGTCTATTTTTCTAGTACAAACAGACCCTGATTTGTTACCCCAGTGATAAGGGAAGCAGTGCAGTTGATAGTGATCTTAATATGCAGGTATTCTAAGACTGTTTGCCTTGAAATGCTTTTATTCTGGAGCAGCAGGTTGCTGAGCTGCCCTGAGCTGAAAGCCTAAAGGCAGGTGCCAAACTGGCCAGGGGTTTATAAGTGAAGAAGCTTGAGAACAGCAGGCTCAGAGTTAAAGCAAAGTCAGAGGAGCCTTTTAGCACCAAGAGTAGAGCCCAGGTTTTTGATCAAGGCAGGCTTTGTCCTGCCTGACTTTGGGCATCTCAGGTGGGGGTGTTGAGTTGTGCTGCACTGGAGTGTGTGTTCAGGAAATATGTTTGACTCTGAGCTGGGGGCTCTTTGGGTGATTTACTCTGAAGTTCTACTTATCACTGCTCAGAGCTAACTGAGTGTTCCCTCCCTTCCCTCTGGGTGTACCTGCAGCCTCCTGGAGCACTGTCGGAAGCATAAATACCTGTCTGCTTCTGGAGAGGTGTTTGCTCTGCTGGTCAGCAGCCTCCTGGAGAACCTGCTGGACTACAGGACCATCATGCATGATGAGAGCAAGGAGAACCGCATGAGCTGCACTGTCAATGTGCTGGTATGGGCAGGGCTGGGGTTCAGCTGGGCTGTCTCCTCACTGAACTGGCTTTTGTGGGTTCTGAAGGATTTTTGTTGTAGGTTTTAAAGTAATTCTTTATGCCATTTCTGCCTAGTGATGGGCCCAAATCGGGCCACCAGCTGTTGACAGCTGTAAAGCTTAGAAAGATGGACAGTCCAAAAGCAAGTCATGTGGCTGGTCCTTGTCTGCAGGGCAATCTGAAACCCTGGAATACAGGCAGGAGAGATGGCTGAGAGTTGGGGAAGTGTGGGTTTAAGTGTCTGTTCCACTGCAATGAGCCTGTATGACTTTGGACAAGCCACTTTCTGTCTTTGACTTTCCCCTTGGCTAGAGGTGATAGTAGCCCCACGTTATGTGAAAGGGATGGCTGCAAGGATATATGCACCTAAGTAAGCAAAATGACAGCAAAGATCTTTGAGATACCTAGAACTGATGCTTAAGTTACTTGACTGAAGATGATTATGCAAATCATGGCACTTGGTGCAGTCTAAAGTTTGATCTTTTCTTGGCAGAATTTTTATAAGGAGAAGAAACGAGAAGACATTTATATCAGGTAGTTCCCCCCATAAACCTGTAGAGAAGCCTTTGTTTCTCTTGGTGCTCTGTGCACTGACACAGGAACCCTTCCCATCAAGTAGCAATTGTTTTTTGTTTGTTTAGGTATCTCTATAAGCTCCGAGACCTGCACACAGACTGTGAGAACTTCACAGAGGCAGCATACACTCTCCTCCTCCATGCAGAGCTGCTCCAGGTATTACTCCAAAGCCAGTTCTCAGTTCCCATGTCATGGTGTGGGTTTTAAATGAAGTTCAGAAGGCTCAGAATAAACAATTCACTCTTTTCTTTCTGTGATGTGACTTTGCCTTACCTCAAAACTAGTGGTCATTGTTTGTTGAGGCTACACAAGTGATATGACTGTGATATGACTTTGCCTTACCTCAAAACTAGTGGTCATTAAGGAGCTTCACAGTTTTGCAAATTGCAGAGTAGCTCAATGGATTAAAGCAAAAGTGTAATTGGTACCAATTTCTTCCACACTCTTGGTGAAGCAGAGTGCTGTAGTGAGCTGGAGAAAATCTCTCTGTTTGGGGTCATAGTACAGTTTTTTCCACTTGTGTATGAACAGTATAAATTGTATTAGCCTAGGCTGTCTTAATTTGCATTTAAGTCAACCTCTTCCTGTCTTCCTCAGATGAATAAAGCACACACTTAATAAAGCTGGCTTAAGTCTTTTAAACCAAAATCATACCAGTTTTGCAGATTTAATTAAACTTGTATTTAAAGTTAATTTTAAATATGCCTTTAAAAATTGTACAAGTTTAGATGAATTCTTAAATTGATTTAAAATTAACTGTTTATATAGGAAAAAAGTGGGCACAATAACTGAAGCTTTCTGGCTGTTTACATGTAGTGGGAGAGCATAATCAGGTGCTTCTCTGAGCAGCTGGCTGGGGTGGTTTAAGAGGTTACTGCATGCTGGCTGCTAGTTATCTTAATGAATAGTAATTCTACTACTAGCTAGTAGTAATCCTAATGGATTAAAACTGGAAGAGGGAGATTGAGGTTGGAGATGAGGAGGGAATTCTTTGTTGTGAGGGTGGTGAGAGCCTGGCCCAGGTTGCCCAGGGAAGCTGTGGCTGCCCCATCCCTGGGGGTGCTGAAGGGCAGGTTGGATGGGGCTTGGAGCAGCCTGGGCTGGTGGGAGGTGTCCCTGCCCATGCAGGGGGTTGGATCTGGATGATCTTTAAGGTCCCTTCCCATCCAAACCATTCTAAGATAGTGATCCTAACCATGCTGCTGAGATGTGGTGTTTGTGCCTGTGTCATGAGTCAGCCCACTCAGCTTCTCTCAGTGCAAAACTTCCTTGCTTTGATGGATTTGTTTGGAATGCAGGTGAGTCTATGCACTGTAAGGATCTGGTAATCTGAAAAGGTTCCAGTTCTTTCAACTCTGCCTTTTTAATCTCCCTACTAGTGGTCTGAGAAGCCATGTGTCCCCCATCTCCTGCAGAGGGACAGCTACTACGTCTACTCACAACAGGAACTTAAGGAAAAACTCTACCAAGAAATTATCTCCTTCTTTGACAAGGGCAAGGTGAGTGTCTCTGCTTGGCTTGGTGAATGCAGCTGACAGAGGTTGGTTTTAAGGGAAA